GGCAAACGGGACTATAATTCTCTCTTTATTTAAAGAAAAAATAAGAGGTTTAACCTCAAAAAATATGGAAATCATCTTCACGGATGGTTCTGTGTCGGAAAATTTTACAGGTAGTGCTTTTGTTCACTTAAATTCCAATTCAATAAAAAGTTTCTACACCGACAAAAAACTTTCGTCGCTGACTGCTGAACTCACAGCCCTAGAAAAAGCCATTGACTTCAGTATTTCAAAGAAGTTCTCCAAAATAGCAATTTTAACTGACAGCCTTGGTGCCATCCAGACAATAAAGAACGCGAACTCCAAAAACTGCATCTCTCAATGCATCCTGAAAAAAGTCATAAACAATCCAACCCTGCTATCCATAGAGTTTCACCACATTCCAAGCCATTCCAATATTTGGGAAAACGATCTCGCAGATACAGCGGCTAAAAATTCTAGGATTAACGGCTCTTTCTTTCAAAGACGCTATCAATCATATGTTCGCGCAAATAAAACAAGACTGGGAGCGTGAATACAGTCTGTTTTCATTAGAGCGTAACAAGGGTTACGCTCTCCTCTCACCAAATACAACTTCCAAGCCTTGGTTTAAAAACAAAGAAGACCTATTCAACCGTATAGAAACGAAGACTCTGAACAGAATCTTAAGCTTTTGATAAATAAACACTTTTTTTCGGGCAACGTTAATGAAGACATTTCGCATATTTTGTTAAATTGTTTGTGCCTAACCGAAGTAGTCACTTCCGGGTCACACCGCGGGACAAGGGGGTAATGAGCACTTGTCGCTGGCACGGGGACGCTTTGATGGCAGGACGATCGCGTCGCGGCAATGGTAACGATGGTTACTGCGATGCCGGACCACAGGCGATGCTGGAGCTGCGCTGAGGGTGAGCTAACGTGGTTAGCTGCTAGTTGAGATAGTTTTTTACGAGCCCTATTCCCAGTTGTAGGAAGTAGAACCGCGGAGTTAAGAGGTGTGTTGATAACTGATTTATTCTTCATTTGATACCTGCTTATATACTACTTGGAACACGGAAGCTTAGTGTAATGATTAGTGAAATAAGCTATATTCTAAAGTAGGTCAGGGAATTATGATTATGGTGCAGCTAATCAGCTAAACTGCAACATGTGCTGACTGCATTGGTGCGTCGGTGTGCCGTTGAGTCTGAGAGACGGTGAGTCGGTGAGACGGTGAGTTAGTGAGACATATAATATGCTGATCAGCAATTCTCATATGCAGTGGGTGCTACTGAACGCCTGGTACTGACACTGCAACATGTGCTGACTGCATTGGCGGGTCAGTGAGCCGTTGAGTCGGTGAGACGGCGAGTTAGTCTACAGTGAGTGCTACTGAGCGCCTGGTACTGTTCCCAACTAGGATACTGCTTGATTTGTTGGGTGTGGTCATGTTGAGTACCTTTGGGTATGAACATTCTCCCCCCCATTGAGGGATACCCTTAATTAAGTCGTGATGGCGGTCAGCCCTTGACCGAATTGTATAGGAAGCACCTAACAAATCATTGACCAAATCCTTTGACTGCGGTTCATGTTTGTGATTCAGGTCCCTCATATCTTCTTGATGCTGCTTAACACTCCCCGTTGCGACAAAATTTACATTACCGTGGGGTCTGAAATTGTGCCCTCGTAGCACTTGATTATTTGGCACGTCTGTGGTATGTGGCCTTTCTGCAACAACACTTAGGTATTTCTTGGTTAAATTTAGAAATGTTGAACAAAAGTCAGGCTTCTTATTGGTTTTTCTTTTGTAGTATAAAGTGCTGCAATTAACTATTATGTATAGCGGTTGATCCTCGATCGAACGAGTCAGTGTCGCTGGTTCTTGATTGGCTACATCTAACTTCAGGTTCTCTTATTTTATGATCCATCAATGCTAAGTTCGTTAAATGAATCCTTTTCTTGGCGCATAAGCAGCATTCGGTCCTGCAAGATCATCTCTGTTTTCTATTAGATTAGGGTTGATTTCCATATCAGATGAGGTTTCTTTATTGAGATAACCTGTGATTACATAACCAAGCCTTGTGCCTTGTGCCAAAGGTTTATTGGGTCCTAGTTCAAGACGTTCACCGGTAATTACACGAGAAAATACTTCAACCCCTAACGTTAGGTCAATGGGTCCTGGTTGCCGAAAGTCAGGATCTGCTAATGGCAGTCCCTCGGGAATATTAAGATCGGTTGTAATCGGTACTGACGATTGGTCTGTAATGACTGTGGGCATAATAAATACCTCTAATAGTTTTTCAAACCCTGATGTACATGATGAGAGCTTTAGTGTTGATCTAATTGCTGTTGATATCTTTCCTCCGATTCCAGATATTTCAATCGGTGACCTTTCTTTTAGAGATAGCAAATCTGCCATTCTCCTTGAGATAAGATTCACCTGTGATCCACCATCTATTACAGCGCGACATGTTTGTTTCCGGCCACTGGATTGCTAGTCGGTCCTTGGTGTAACAGTGAATGATGCCGTTGCTGGCAGACTCGACAAGTGGCCGGTGATCCACAGTTTTCAACCTTATGAGCTGTAGACAAACAATTTGTGCATGCTCCTACTTGAATAATGGCTTGGCGCCGTGCTTTGGGGTCCATTTGCTGGATACGGCTACATGCTCTAAGATTATGTTGTCCTATGTGACAAATGTTACAGCTCTCTTCGTTGTGAACTGACTGATGGCGGAGTGTTGCTGTAGGTTGAGCGCTTATCGTCTCCAGCATGCAAGCGCGCCGCTCAATAAACGTCAGTACACTCCATAACGTTGGAATTTCCGTTGGTGCATCCGCTGAATTTTCGAGAGCAGCTAGAGACTGCTGGTCTAGTTTTCTTCTGATAAGAAAACACAGGATTGGATCCCAGGATTTTGTGCTGATATCAAGGTTTTTAAGAGTACTCATTGAATTTTTTATAGTGTCATGTAAGGCCCTTAGTTGGCGCGAGGAGCCGTCTATAGGCTTATGGTCAATAATTTTTGCTATGGCGGCGAATACTAGTATTTTTCCGTTCTGGTATCTGGCCTTTAAACGCAAACAGGTATCGTCATAGCCACCCTGTGAGATGGCTGTGTCTGTCAAGACGTTTCTCTCTTCACCACGAAGCGAACTGTGTAGAATATGTAGTTTTTGACTGGCCGAATATGGTTTGTTATGTACCAATTCCACAAAGAGATCATGGAACCGTGGCCAGTCTAGATACTCGCCGTTGAACTCCGGAATGCTAATTGGCGGAAGTGCCAAGTTTAGGCTCAATGGCGCGTCGTTTTCTCGTAGCATGTTCATTTCGTATTCCTTGTATAATGTGTGGAATTGGGCTAGCTCTGCTTCTTGGGTGACTTGTTTCCTCAATGAATGAAGTAGACATATTGTGTGTCTTGGATACAAAGAATCTTGTGAAGCTGGATGAAGCTGAGTATCCTGCGAAGCTGGAAGAAGAAGCGTATCCTGTGAAGCTGGATGAAGCTGACGTTCCTGTGACGCTGGAAGACGAAGCGTATCCTGTGAAGCTGGATTAAGCTGAAGTTCCTGTGACGCTGGAAGAAGAAGCGTATCCTGTGAAGCTGGATTAAGCTGAAGTTCCTGTGACGCTGGAAGAAGAAGCGAAACCTGTGAAGCTGGATTAATCTAAAGTTCCTGTGACGCTGGAAGAAGAAGCGTATCATGTGAAGCTGGATTAAGCTGAAGTTCCTGTGACGCTGGAAGAAGAAGCGTATCCTGTGAAGCTGGATTAAGCTGAAGTTCCTGTGACGCTGGAAGAAGAAGCGAATCCTGTGAAGCTGGATTAATCTAAAGTTCCTGTGACGCTGGAAGAAGAAGCGTATCCTGTGAAGCTGGATTAAGCTGAAGTTCCTGTGACGCTGGAAGAAGAAGCGTATCCTGTGAAGCTGGATTAAGCTGAATTTCCTGTGACGCTGGAAGACGAAGCGTATCCTGTGAAGCTGGATTAAGCTGAAGTTCCTGTGACGCTGGAAGAAGAAGCGTATCCTGTGAAGCTGGATTAAGCTGAAGTTCCTGAGACGCTGAAAGAAGAAGCGTATCCTGTGAAGCTGGATTAAGCTGAAGTTCCTGTGACGCTGGAAGAAGAAGCGTATCCTGTGAAGCTGGATAAAGCTGTGAGTCCCTTAGTGGGAAGGGGGTTGCTTGAGTGTGATCCTTTGTTGAATACCAATGTATGTGCCTAACCGAAGTAGACACTTCCGGGTCACACCGCGGAACAAGGGGGAAATGAGCACTTGTCGCTGGCACGGGGACGCTTTGATGGCAGGACGATCGCGTCGCGGCAATGGTAACGATGGTTACTGCGATGCCGGACCACAGGCGATGCTGGATTTGCGCTGAGGGTGAGCTAACGTGGTTAGCTGCTAGTTGAGATAGTGTATTACGAGCCCTATTCCCAGTTGTAGGAAGTAGAACCGCGGAGCTAAGAGGTGTGTTGATAACTGATTTATTCTTCATTTGATACCTGTTTATATACTACTTGGAACACGGAAGCTTAGTGTAATGATTAGTGAAATAAGCTATATTCTAAAGTAGGTCAGGGAATTATGATTATGGTGCAGTTGGCTCAGCTAAACTGCAACATGTGCTGACTGCATTGGTGCGTCGGTGTGCCGTTGAGTCTGAGAGACGGTGAGTCGGTGAGACGGTGAGTTAGTGAGACATATAATATGCTGATCAGCAATTCTCATATGCAGTGGGTGCTACTGAACGCCTGGTACTGACACTGCAACATGTGCTGACTGCATTGGCGGGTCAGTGAGCCGTTAAGTCGGTGAGACGGTTAGTTAGTCTACAGTGAGTGCTACTGAGCGCCTGGTACTGTTCCCAACTCGGCTACTGCTTGATTTGTTTGGTGTGGTCATGTTGAGTACCTTTGGGTATGAACACTCAAAATATACACCAACAAGACAGAATTATCCAACACTACTTAAATATAACGATATTTATTGTTTACTTGGAAATGAACCAATTGAAAATTGGACATCGGATACCGGTTTCATTCGAGCTGCTAATATTAATATCTAATATAACACACTCCACACTGCTCATTTAATACACTATAACACCATTCACGCTTATACCAACTCACAAAATTTAAAATTAAAATTTATCACACACATTGATAACATTTTCATCGCTTATCGTTCATCGTCATCGCTTATCGTTCATCGTCATCATAACATCACCAGAAACTACTGCACGCTATTTACATAGCTGTCCATTTAATTTTGTTTTTCTTGAAATTTAGTTTCATACATTGGCGGTGGCGTTAACCCGTTCCAACGGGGCGGCCAAATAATTCTTCCCTCTTCACGGAAGTAACTTAATATATAAAAAAACTAAAATATACGTTCAAATTGGTATAGATTTCGACAAATATTGGTGTTGGCGGCGCATCGATATGGAGAAGACTTTGAAAAAGCAGAACAGCAATGGTAATTAGAGTAATTAGAATATGAATGTATATGATTTGTAATCTTTTTTTGTCCAATATAGTTGCCTGTCAAGAGGAAGAAGGAACGTTCCCAAAAAAGCGCAAGAAATATGGGCTTTCTTCTCTATGGAACTATTTTGACTACCAAGTGCATAATATGTGGTAAAACCTACCAAACAAGTGGCAATACGACAAACTTGTCTTGCCACTTAAACGAGGTCTACGTTACTGTGACGTGACTCGAATTGCGCAACGCTGTTTTGTCCACTGAAAAGGTCCTCGACGAAACGAGCCATTCTTCTGAAAATATTGCAAACTCTTTACTCTACACAGTACTCGAGGAATGGAGAGTTTTAGGAAAGGTCACTGCAATGTTCACAGATAACGCCAAAAATATGATAAAAGCATGTGAAATACTGCAAATAAGACATATTCCATGCTGTGCGCATTCAATCAATTTGACTGTCCAGGACTGTTTGGCTACATTGTTTCGCTTTTTAAAAGTAGCACAATTGCATGTGCCACGTTTAAAGAGGCTCAGGAATGCGAACGTCCTTATAGTTTAAAGCAAGAATGTCCTACAAGATGGAACACCGGCTATCATATGTTGGACAGAATTTTGATCACAAAGATTGCCATCGCAAGTGTGCTACTAAACACGCCCAAAGGGCTAATGCCGCCAACATCTGAAGAAATATCCATTCTGGAGGATTTAAAGGCAATACTTTCACCTTTTCAGCATGCAACGGTACACACATCTTCGAGTACTTCTGTGACAGTGTCTTCAGTGATTCCGGTTGTTTGTGGTATTTTACACAATCTGACAGGCATGAAAACTAAACTCCAGACTAAGGTGGGCCAAGATGTCTGTGATGACATACTTCAAGGGGTCAATAAAAGATAATAATTCCTCCCAAGGGGTTAAATCGTTGGGTGATGAACCGTCGCTCATCAATGCTCCAACAAAATCTTCTGCATTTTCAAGCCCGCCAACACCAGAATCCACAGCAGAGTCCAACCTATTATTCAGTTTTTTACAAACTAATCAAACTCAAAAAATTCAAAGCGGTCGCGTGGATTATATATTGGCTTTGCGACAATACTTGAATGCGAGTAATTTGGACCCTGCCCAAAACCCTTTGGATTATTGGAAGGTACAAAAAATAACAATTTAATTGGTAACCAACTTAAAAATCCAATTTCTTATTTCAATAGATATCAAATGACGCCGGATTCAAAACATGAAAGTGAGAGGATGTTCAGTAAAGCTGGACTAGTCGTTAGCGAGAAGGGAAGCTCTCTAAAACCAATGAATGTCAATATGATTTTATTTCTAAACAAAAATGATTGGATAATTCAGTTTTAGTTATGTTACTTTTTCCTTATTTTTTTGAGAAGAACTTTATACTGTTATTTATTTTATTTTTAATTGAATTGTGATATAATTTTAATTTTTGTGTTGAACGAGTAGTTTAAGTTTCACTTTGAATTTGCAGGAAACAAAAATTGAAAACAATGGATCTCAAGTAAAGCATAATTTTTTATAATGAACTTACACATTGGATTTATTTGTGGTATTCGTTTATATATTAAATGGAGTAAAAACATTTTTCAAAATTACATCCAAAAAAAAGTTCGATGTATCGATACATCGATGTTTTTTTTCTGAAAAACATCGAAACATCGATGTAGGTAAGCATCGATTATTTTCGAGCTCTACATGCTAGCACCGGGTCTGCCACGGGTCTTGCCTTTACTTCATCTGGTGCTGTGGTGTCCACTTCCACTTGCTGCCTTTGCGTAGCAGGTCATACAGGGGTTTGACAATTCCGGAAAAATCTGGTAGAAATCGGCGGTACCGGAGTTCTTTGACGGTCGATGGCGGTTCCAGTTCAGCGATGGCGGCTACTTTTTCCGGATCTGTTCCTATTCCCTCCCTAGTCACTCGATGTCCCAGGTACAGCAGTTCCTTCTCACAGAATTGGCATTCTTCTGGATTCAGCTTTAGGTTTGCTACCTTTAGACGCCGGAACACTTCTCTTAAATTTCTCTTGCGTTCTTCTAGCGTGCGACCGATCACTATTATGTCATCCTGGTAAGCGAATGCGTGAGTTGACATCCTGCTGAAACGTTGCAGACGCCGAGTGGAGTCCGAACGGCATTACGTCCCACTGGAATAGACCTTTGCCTGGTACCGTGAACGCCGTGTATTGCCTGCTATTTTCTTCCAGTGGGATCTGCCAATATCCATCCTTCAGGTCCAGACTGCTGATGTACCGCGCTTCCCTTAGTTGGTCTATGATGTAGTTTATGCGGGGCATTGGGAAGGTGTCCTTCACTGACTTCGCGTTGATCTCTCTGAAGTCGACACACAGTCTCCACTTGCCTTTCCTCTTTTTCAAAATCACAATGGGGGAGCTGTATAGGCTCTTTGAATGATCTATGAATGTAGATTTCCCCTTGGATTTTTGGATTCTTAGGGTAGTATATCTACTTGATTGTCTGTCTTTCTTCAATTTAATCTGGATCTCTGGCATATTCGATGTTTCCGTCATTGTGCTGAAGTCATCCAGCTCTGTTTCCAGGAACTCTATAGTATCGTTTAACTCGTTTACCTGTTGAACGACTGCTACCGATAGCTTCTCCTTGAGCCATCCATTGTGTCGGTTCCTGGCTGGTATTTATACCCGTTACTCGTGGTGTAAAAGGGTATACTAGATTCGTCGGAGAGTATGTAACAGGCAGATGGAAGCGTTTCCGATATATAAAGTATATATATTCTTGATCAGGATCACTAGTTGAGTCGATCAAGCCATGTCCGTCTGTCCGTCCGAATGAACGCTAAGATCATGGAAACTATACGAGCTAGGCTATTGAGATTTGGCATGCAGATTCCTGTGCTTTTTACGCAGCGCAAGGTTGTCAGCAGCGTGCCACGCCCACAAACCGCCCAAATCTATGGCTCTTACAGTTTTGATGCTAGAATAAAAATTTTAACTGCAATGAATTTTTCTTATCCATTTTAACGCCCAGAAACTTAAAAAAATCGTAATTATGAACGCGGATATCTCGAAAACTATCAAAGATAGAGAATTGGGATTTCATAAAAAAATTTGCCACGCCCACTCTAACGCCTAACCATATATTGAGATCGCGAGTAGGTGGCGCATTTTAATCTCGATTTGCTGCTTGCATATCTCCATTTCCCTTTTGTCCCTATAGCTGAGTAACGGGTATCTGATAGTCGAGGTACTCGACTATAGCGTTCTTTCTTGTTTCAGGAAGTTCCATCCCAACACCAACGGATCCACTACTCCTGGTAAAAAATCACTTTGTTGCCGAATTTGACCTACACCTCGAGTTGCGCATCAATTCCGCCACAAGTTCCGTCTGCCAACCTTACTTGCCGTCTCGTCCTTGTAATCCTTCCAAGAGAAGCAATATTGTCCGCCATTTCTTTACTAACGAAGCTTGCCTGTCGAACCTGAACGACCATTGGCGGTCCTGTTTTATGACCTTTGCATAGTCTGACTGGCTGGGTCTCGAGGTCAGCGTTGCTGTTTATCTATCTTGGCTTGACTCTCTCCTGTGTCCTTCTTAAATCCGCCGGTAAATCCACTTCTTTCCTGATGTCCCGAACGTCTATTTATCAGGACTGCTTCAGTCTTGTGCGCTGCCAAGGCGAGTCCCTTGGCGTCGAGACATGCGCTTGCTCGTTTCCCGCTTCGTTGCAGATTCTTTCCGCATCACGGAGTTTCTTTGCCGTAACTACTATGTCCACGTCATCCGCGAAACCAATGATTCGTGCCCCTTCGGGCATCGTGATCCTAAGGATCCCATCGTACATGACATTCCACAACATAGGGCCTAGGACTGATCCTTGGGGGTCGATTGCCCGGAATTAGTTTCGTACAGGAGCAGGTGGCTTTCGAAGTAGCTCGCTATTACTCTCTGTACATACACTGGGACATTTAGGTTGCTCGGTGCATTTAGTGTGTGGTACCAGCTAGCGGAGTTGAATGCGTTTTTAACATCCAACGTTGCCGCTATGCAACAGCTTTTTCCCCTCAATGGCTTTGTCTGCGATTTCGCACAGTTCACCGACGGTATCGTCGGTAGATAGCCACTTCCGAAAACCATACTGCATCTCTGAGAGGCTGTTGGTTTCGACAAGGGCACCTTTTAGCCGGGAGTGGATTATTTTTTCGAGAATTTTACCCACCGTATCCAGCATGGAGAGTGGCCTATACGAAGAAGGTTCCTCCGCGGGTTTTTCCCCCTTTGGTATGAATACCAGCCGCTGTGTTTTCCAGTGACTAGGGAACACACCTTCTGTTAGGCATGCATTATATTTGACAACATACTCTTTTGTATTTGCTTTTATGGCAATTTTAAGAACTTTATTCGGGATTCCATCTGGTCCCGGTGCTTTGTCGTCCAGTATTGTCTTCAACACTCGCAGGACTTCTTCGGCAGTTGTGAGCTTCATGCTCGCCGTGTTCACGATCGGTGAGGTTCGCGCCATACTCTCTTGTGAGGAGTTGAATAACTCCCCACAAATAGAAGGAGCAGCAGATGGCCGGCTGCTTACCAGATACGCGGCGAATTCGCGTAGTAACGGCGCGGCGAGGAGAGTTTGGAGACCAAGGATGGAGATCGAGAGAGTTTGGAGACCAAGGATGGAGAGCGAGAGAGTGGGCCATACGCAAAAGGGAAATAACGGACCCCGGAGGCCCTATATAAGGCCGCAGAGCCCTGGCAGCTGCATCAGTCGATCACGAGGAGTCAAACCTTCAAGATCAGTGAAAGTACCAAGTGAACAGTCAGTCAAGCAAGTAATCTCCGAGGGAGCCACAACCAAGTGAGTCGTCGGAAGCAGCGCCGTGGAGACCACACAAGGAGCAAGATTGCCACGTCGAGACGTTCGGGATTGGGACATCAGGATTGAGACACAAGTGGCTGAGGTCTGGAAGGCATCACGAGGCTAAGTCAAGGCGTTTGTTTTCCAACTTTTTCACGACCACACCCTGGCTAGTCGCCGTGTTAGAGACAAGCAAAAGAGTCCTACGACGAAGAACCGTCAGCTTGGGGAGGAAAGTTGTCTGCGACCCAGCGTACCTTGCCCGACCAAGCAGGACCTGGCGTGACGGACGAGCGGTAGATCGAGTTGCGGTTTCAAGAGGCGGCCGCCTGGAGAGTCCTGCGATTACCGGCGAAGTTCCCGAACAGCAACCGCCCAACTCCCCGAGTGCCAGAACGACGAGATACTGGTCAGAAGACAGCGCAGAGGACATCGACAGCGACGCCAGCCGACATTTCCGGGAGCCACGTTACCATCGCCGCGCGGAGCTCATTGGGAAGCACAGGAGCGTCGCGGACGTCACGCATTAGGGTGAAGCCGGGTGGAACGTTCGTCTGCGCTAGGCGTAAAGCAAAGTGAACTGCTAGACAGCTTCCTTGTCTGACTGTCAGCGCGATCTGAGCAAGAACCTAGCGGGACCGTCCGGAACAGAGCAAGGGACAGGTATTGCCTCGAAAGGTGTCGGCCTGGAGAGCAAAGCTTGTTCACCCTAGTCTGAGAACGGTGACGCTTCCCTAAGCCCACATGACCGAACTCTCTGCGAGTTTAAGGCGCAACAAGCGACCTCGAGGCAGCTCGTCGGCAAGCAGGCAGAAGCGGCCACTACGAGCGTCCCGAAACCCGGGAGCCAGTGGAAGCCGAGCATTACGTTAACGAAGGCTGAAGGGGACAACCTGGTGGCAAGCCTGAGCATTGACAACATGCAAAAAGAGGCCCACAGGAGAGAATCAAGCCAAGATAAGAAAACAGAAGCGCTGACCCCGAGACCAAGCCAGGCGGACTATGCAAAGGTCGCTAAACAGGTCCGGGAATGGTCGTTCAGGTTCGACATGGCGGAAAAACCATTCGAGTTCCTGGAGCAGGTAGAATGGTCCGCCATCACGTACGGTTTGGATCTTGATATGATCCCTCGAGCGATGCCGGAGTTGCTAAAAGGAAGGGCTTTGAAATGGTTCATCGCCAACAACAAGCAATGGAGAACTTGGGCAGAGTTCATTGAAAGCTTCCACACATATTTTCTGCCAAGAGATTTCTTCACCAGGCTGACGGAGCAGCAGTAGTCCGCAGTTGTGATGATTGGTGGGAACAGCTACAAAGCCACAATCGACACCGAAGCAACGGCAAGCTTCGTTAGCGAAGAATTGGCGCACAATATTGCTGCTCTAGGAAGGATTACAAAGACGAGACGGCAAGTTAGGTCGGCAGATGGAAGGTGCGGCGGAATTGATGCGCAGCTCGAGGTGGAGGTCAAATTTGACAACAAACAAGTGACCATGAGCCTGTTTATTTAACCCGGAGTAGTGGATCCATTAGTGTTGGGATGGAACTTCCTGATTCAAGTCGGATCCGAGATAAGGTGTGCTGGACACGAGATATTAATACCAGCCAGGAACCGACACAATGGATGGCTCGAGGAGAAGCTATCAGTAGCAGTCGTTCAACAAG